ATTAGCCATTTCTTAAAATGGCTGTAACTGAAAAAATTGAAGTCGAAATCAGCTCAAACTTTCTACACAGCATAAGGACATCAATATGTATCAGAAAATGTAATAAAAATTTGGGGTGATTTCGGAGCCATTTTTTGGAAAAAACCATGGGCTATAGCCTTGGGTACTTTTCAAAAATTGGCCGATTTCTTAAAATGGCTGTAACTTGAAAAATTAAAGTCAAAATCAGTTCAAACTTTCTACACAGCATAAGGACATCACTATGTATCAGAAAATGTAATAAAAATTTGGGGTCATTTTGTAGCCATTTTTGAAAAAACCATGGGCTATAGCCTTGGGTAATTTTCCTTTGGTAGTTTTACATGTACAGTATATGTACCTGTTCCAGTCCAGCTGTGAAGTATGGTTCATTATTAATAGTGGTGTTATTATCAAATACTGTAGTCATGTCCATGGCAGTCGATTGACTGGTAACATCCATCCTGTTGAACGGGGTGCTGTTACTATGACAACCATAGGTCCCGCCCCCTGATCCACCTGTCATCGTCTGTTCTTCATGAATCTGACCATTAGCACTTTGAATGAAAACACGAACCTGGAATATGTACAAAATTAATGTTAATCAAAATATATGATGTACATTCTAACCTACAGTATAGCTCTTGTATTTTGTGGATATATAATTTCACTAATTTTCCCTGCTAAGCATTTGCAAATAAAAAATTTTGCGAAATAATTTATTTATTCATTGAGCAAGTTGTGGCAAAGAGATTTTCAATGGAATTTAATTTTGTGACTTTTAACCCTCCACAAAATTAGCGAAATTTATTATCCACAAAATATAAGTGCTATACAGTATTATGTACATGTACAGTAGATTGCATAGAACACAAGTACTAGTACATATGTACATGTAGCTGGTAATTTGGAGGGGATATAATTTCAGTCAATTAATTGCTAAATTTTTGGTAATTAGTGGGTTTTATTCAGCAAAAAGTTACACGTACATGCATGTGCAAACTCCAAATTTGCCAACCCAACTCTAGATACATTTATTAGTATAAAATTCTTTACAATCAATTTTAAAATATATTACATGTATCTTCTCAACCACACCTACCGTTGGAAACCCGTTTGGCACAGACCCAATCGGAGACTCTATCAATTTCAATTTACTCGTAAACTCGTTAGCCACGCCCCCATCACCACTAGCCACACCTCCTTCAGACTCTGCC